GCAGGGCCAGGTCCAGAAGTGGTGCCCCTGGGGCCCAAGAAAGGCACTAAGGTAGTCTGGGTGAGAAGGGTGAGGAAGCAGTATTGGTTCCCCCGGTGTCTGGGGCCCCAAGACTAGGGATGGCGCAGGTCCCAAACTGGGAGTAGTGAACAGCGGGGGAGATGGGAGGGGGAATGTCAGAATAAAATTCTTTTATAAATAAAATGCTCATATTTATCCCTTCAAAATCAGGAAAAGAATATACATTTCATACTACATGTTGTGACTGAAACATTCAGTAATTTATACCATTTCTTCTTCATAGATATGTAGTGAGACTACATAGTCTGGCATCCTTGGTGCTTAAGAAAGCCATGTGACTGAAACTTTAGCTTCCCAGTCCTCCCTAAAAATTTCTCATGTGTAATCCTCCATCCTCTGCTGCCAGTTAGACCACGGGCACACATACATGAGGAAAAGAAGCCACTGAAAATTGGTGTTCTATTTATTGCTTATAGTTAGTGTTGTTTGAATTAAAACAAATAATCATAGGCAATCTTCCAACTATCAAATGTGTTATACTTACAAATTGAGGCTTGTAGTATGCTGGACCTGTTGTGCTGTCACTAGCAGGAGGGGAGCATTTTAGAATACTGCCATCCTCATTGAGGTGGTAACCATGTGACTGTCCACAAGAAGGAATTGAAGGAACATCAATGCTTTTGGAAACTGTAGGTACTCTTGAAATTTTCTTCAAACATAGATGATTGTGAAGAAAGCATTTGTGTTATGAAGAAAGAGAATAAAGAACCAAGTATTCTAATTTACTATAGGAAACCATTAAATATTGACTTAATAAATTTCATCATGTAAACCAAAAACGTTTGTTTTGTAAAAGGACTGAATTCAAATTTTAGATTGTCTTATGCAATAAGAGATACATACTAATAAAGCCACCATAAGAACCAACGATTCACTCTTATTGTGTCAATTCATTTTGCTTAGTAAAAGAAATATAACTAATGCAAAGAAACAAGCATTCCTACAGCAGTATCAGCTGCTATTAGGGTGCATGCCACACAAAGTAATCTTCAGTTTTTCTGTAACATTTTCTGGCTTCATTCCTTGAAACTTGTTTTGTTTCTATATTACCTAGGACAAACTACAAAGCAAGAAAATGTATGATATAATGCTAAAAAAATGAAAAAAATATTAAACTGAATTATAAATATATATTAGTTGTTAAATGTTACTCAAAATATATGCTTAATTTTGGAAGAAGCTATGGCAAAAAGAGAACATTAATGTTAGAGTCAGAAATTTTAGTTTGTTAATCTTTTTTCAAAATCGACTTTAGTACAAAATATTTTGTAACTTAAATATAAACAGGAAATAGCATATACTAGAAACAAAAAATATATATCTAATAAAATATTGGGCATTTAAAGGATTTAGTTATCTGGGACACTAATGTGTTTATGTTGATCCCTGCGTTTTATGGACAAATAAGTGAAGGCAATAGTTATATATCCACATGCCCATGTACAATTGTGCTACAAAAAAATACCAATGGCATAATTTTAATTTTCTTCCACTAGATATAACTATTAAGTATTTTCAGTGACACTCATGAGACTAATTAAAAAATTAAGAAAGTGTTGAATGGCTGTTCTTCTATTCAATATTCCAAAAAGCATATGATATCAAGTGAATGTTTCCAAAAAGCATCCCTCCCCTCCTCAAGTTTCTACTCAAGCTGTTCTCCATTACCTTGTATTGCAAACAGACCACAGAACTCTATTCTTCCCTAAACATAACATGCCAGTAGACACCTCAGCATCTCTACTCATAAGGTTTTCTATATCTTTTGATTACTTTGTAAATTCTTCTTTAAGTTCAATTGTTTCTCCCATTCCCTCAAAAAGAGTCTTTACTATGGGATACAGGTCAATATCTCATTATGGCTGTAAGACAGCACTTGATCAACTGCATTGTGCCAATTTTTGCTTATTAGTTCCCTGTTAAAATTGTAAACCTCAGGGAGCAGTGATCTTCCCTGTATGTGTTCTGAGTATCTAGCATGATGTTAACTGGCACAGACAGTCACTCAGCAATGTTTAATAAGCCCCTAATAAATAATGACCATTTATTTTGTCCTACCACATAAAATATACCTGATATCTAAATGTATGCTATAAAACCTAACCTCATATATGGCCCATTTGGAGAAAGTTTCACAGGCAGATGAGAAGAAAGTGTATTCTTTGTTGTTTTGGTAGAATGTTCTATAAATGTCTGTTCAATCCATTTGATTCATAGTGACATTTAACCCCAGCATTTCTCTATTTCTTGTCTATTGGTAAAGTGGAACACTGAAGTCACCCACTTTCACTGTGCTGGAGTCAATCTGTGATTTTAGATCTAATTGTTTCTTTTATGAAATTGGGTGCCCTTTTGTTTGGTGCATATATGTTTAGGATTATAATATCCTCTTGGTGGATTTTTTTTCCTTTAATGAGTATGAAATATCCTTCCTTATCTCCTCTGACTAGTTTTGAAGTCTATTTTTTTCAGATACTAGAATAGCCAGGTCTGCTTGTTTCTTGCTCCATATTCTTGAAATATCTTTTTCTATCCTTTTACCCTATGGTGGTGTCTATCCTTGGTGGTGAGTTGTGTTTCTTGAAGGCAGCAAAAAAGTGAATCCTATTTTCTAATCCAATCAGTTAGTCTGTGTTTTTTATTGGGGAATTGATACGGTTCATGTTGAAAGCAATGTTTATTATAAGTTTCTGTCATTTTGTTGTCGTGTTTTCTTAGACTTCTTTTTGGTTAACTGTTCTGGACTTATTTATTCCCTGTGCCTTCTTGGGTGTGTTTAATCTTCTCTTCAGACCAAAGTATAATCTTCTGTAGTTGGTTTGCATATAAATTCCTTAAATCTGTTTTTGTTATAAAAAGTTTTTCTTTCTCCTTTGATAACAACTGATAATTTTGCTGGATACAGTAGTCTAGGCTGGCATCTGTGTTCTTTCATGACTAATAGGACATGAGTTTGAGCTCTTTTGACTCTCATTGCCTATACTGAAAAAAAAATCAGTTGTTAGTCTGATGGCCCTAACTTTATATGTGATTTGATCTTTCTTGTGGTTTTCAATAACCCGGGATAACCAAAACAATCCTGAATAAAAAATAGAGATGGAGGTTTCACCATCCCAGATTTTAAATTATATTACACAGCTATAGCAATAAAAACAGCATGGTACAAGCATAAAGCAACAGACACATTGATCAACTGAATACAATTGAAGACCAGGATATAAGTCCATGTACCTACGGCCACATAATTTTTGAAAAAGAAGCCAAAAATACACACTGAAGAAAAGGCATCTTTTGCTGGTCAAACTGATAGCTGAATATAGAAGAACGAAGCTGGATTAATATCTCTCACCTTGCACAAAACTCAACTCCAAATGTATCAACAACCTCAACATAAAATCTTATGCCCTAAGCCAGTCATGGTGGTACATGCCTTTAATCCCAGAGCTCAGAAGGCAGAGGCAGGCAAATCTGTTAGTTCTAGGCTAGCCTGGTCTACATAGCAAGTTCCAGGCCAGCTGGGGCTACAGGGAAACCCTGTCTCAAAAATGCCCCCCAAAAAATTTGACTTAATTATTACTAACATTATTCAACTAAATACTTAGTCCTGAAATATAAAGTCCTCTTTAAGCAGAGAATTGCTTTAAAATGTAATTTTGTACTATATGAAGGACTTAGGAAAAATAAGAGAACCACACTAAATAAAATGTGACCAAATTCACATTAAATAATATTAGTTATTTCAATAGTGTGGGCCTTTGGTGTAAAAATAACTTGATTCTATAACATTAACATATTTTTCCAAGGCATCACTACTGCCCTCCTATACAAACTCTTTACTCCAAATACAATAATCTTCCTTTTGTCTCCCATAAATATCTTCACTCATATAATACTCCATGCCTAGTATACAAATTCTAACCCCATTCTTTGAGGCCCATCTATAAACTAGCTAGGATTAGCTTCCATTTATCTTCTATGTCTTCTGTAACACAGTTGTCTTCCAAATTGCTAAAGCGTTTAATTACATGATCATTCACCTATCATCTTTCACATTTTGTCTTGAATTAGATGCTATCTATACGTCTCCCATCAAATTTTCAGCTTTCTTACTTCAATTATCATGGGTTTGCTTGCTTTCTTTGTGTTATTATAGAGACAGAACTCAAGGCCTTGCACATGTTAGGCAAGTGCTTTTTACCACTAAGCTATACCTGTAGCCCAGGAATCAAGTGGTTCACTTCACTGTTTTATTAGTAGTGCTTTAAACAAAGTCTCTATAAATAAGCAAACTATATATAGATAAACACATGGTTTTTAAATCTCCCTTGCTTCCTACTCACCACATACACTGTGATTACAGATTAATCAAAAATAAAAGGAGAACCTGAGGGTGTAGCTCAATGGTAGAACACTTATCTAAGCACACAGAAAGCCCTGGCAATCTCTAGGACCAAAAAATAAAAAGAAGAAACAATGAAGTATGATGATAATATAGTTTAAACCTAAGGTTTATAAAAAAAACATTAAATATTTATTTAATTATAAACTACAATAGTTTTATAGTAAGGATTTTTAATGTTCTCAACATCAAACTACTAAAGATTTTCTTTTTATGTTACCTAAAAGAAATGTAATTAGATGCATAATTTAAAACAGTAACACACTGAAGATGCTCTTCAGCTTTTAGTACCTGTTTGCTCACAGTATCTAGTGTTCCAGGATAAGACTGAACATAGCTTGCAGGTCCTGGATTATCTGAAATAAGCTTCTTAAAACGTTTCTCTTGGTTTTGCAGACTATGGCCTCTTTTTATTTTATACTAACTTGAAGATTTAAAAAAAATTACAAAGTAATTAAAGAAGTACTTTAGAATTCCTACTCGATAAATATAAACATTAACAAACAGTTTTAAAACTGAATCTGAGGAAGGTAAGATTATCAACTGAGAACATGGCTCTTCTGAAGGAGGATAATAAAACAACAATTATAGCATCAGTTTAACTGTAAACTCAGACCAGAATTTACTGCACTTTAGAGCATGCTAAGGGAATACAAGAAATATAAGAATTCCCAGAACTACAGGGTAGGGTTTTGTTTTGTTTTGTTTTTATTAAATTTTGTTGTATTTCATACAGAATATCTCAAACAATCTAAATCATCTTTATAGCCCCATCCCCACCAGCACCCTCCCATAGTCCCCCATTGAAACCCATATACTCTGTTCTGGGTGTTAAGGCCCACTGTGTCAAGCCAGTGTCCCCAGATGTCCCCAGTGCAAGTCCATCCACTTGTGGTCTAGTCAGATACCTCATCTATCTATCCAAACACCTATCATTTTCTTTTTTTTTTAATAGAGCATAGGGTGGGGTTTATTTACATCCCCCATTTACAGTTGCACTAGAAAGTCCACACTCAAAAATAGATCCTGTGACTTCCTAACAGCCACAGAAAATGGTGAGAGAGGCGCCAGCGTAGGATTTTTTAAAAGTGTGTTATGCAGGTCATTGGGAAAATGCAAACTTATGAAATGAATTTTCAAAATAAGAGCATTCATATTATAGTGAAAAGACAAGCCTTCCAAGCTCACTTAGGATTCTTTTCATTAATAACATTGTTTCCAGAGACCTTGATATAGACTTGTTTGATAAGCTTGGCTTTATGCTCAGATTAGTCTTAAGTATTATTCATTCATAGAGCACACTGGGAGGGATCTCCCCTGGCTCACCAACAAACTAATAGTTAATTCAAATGAAATTCCAAAATGTAAATGATATTAATGATAATGAAAATATTGGAGTAGCCCAGAAATGTACATTACTTCTGAGCATAAATGGGACCATTTAAGGTATTTTGGTGACAGAAGTTTGAAGCTATATAGAGACAGGAGACAGATGGGACATGGAATGTTATAGCCTTAGAACAAGGCACAAAACAAGTCATCTACTGCCACCTACACATCTTGACCATTTGTATAATTTTCAGATGTCAAAATTCAGTCAGGGCTCCATGCTGCCACTTTTGTGGACCATTACACATATAAATTTTTAAAGATTTGTTTATTTGTTATTTTATGTGTATGAGTGTTTGCCTGCATGTATTTGTGTGCATCACAAGCATGCAATGCCCACAGAGGCCGAAAGAGAGCATTAGATCTCCTGGAACTGGAATTATAGATGGCTGTGAGTCACCATGTAGGTGCTGGGAACCAAACCCAGGTCCTCTGCCAAAGCAGCCAGTATTATTAACCACTGAGTCCCCACCTCTCCAGAACATACCTACACTTTGTATCATGTAGCATATGTAGAACAAAGAAGAATACCCAGGTAGGCAACCAATATCAAATGCATTTATTTTCTATTATTTGTATTACAAAATATGTGTTGAAGAAAGAAAGACATGAAGGAAAAATAAAATACTACAAGTGTCATTTTGGACTATTAAAAGAAGAAAATAAAAATTTTTTGTTTGGTGTTTTGTGTTTGATTTTGAGCCAAAGATAGCCTTGAACTTGCAATGCTGGGATTGTATGTATGTTGCACTTCACCTAGCTAAAAGAATGTGATTTCTATTAACTCAGACAATTTAACATTATAACTATACCTGTGCTTGGGAAACATTATAGTGTGCTGGACCTGGAGCTGCTTTTGCAGGACTGGAGGCACTTTGCCTGGAACTCAAAGAAAGAAATGGTGCATAGCCACCTATAAAACAAAAAAGTCACACCATGACACAGAACATTGGATTCCAAAGATATCTGAGAAAAAAAGTTCAAAACATATGTAATCATTCAGTGTCCTCAGTACTGAGGCTATGTTCTAGGAACAGCTAGCCACACAGGTTGTAATATTTTAAAACTTCTCACACAACATGATAATTCTTATTAATATACATTAAATATAAGACCTTACAGAATTGGATTTGCTGATCAACAGATAAAACAGTAATATATATATATATATATATATATAGTTGTGTGTGTGTGTGAGTGTGTATGTGGTCACAGGTATGCTCACTTGTACATGAGTGCATGGAGACAGGGGAGCATCAAGTATCTTCTTCTATCATTCCCCATTTTATTTTTTGAGACAGCATCTCTCACTGAATTTGAAATTGTCCATTTTGGGGCTAGACTGGCTGGTCAGTGCATTCCCAGAATCCACCTGTATTATCTCTCACCCCAGTTCCAGCCCCCACACCACTATGACCAGCTTTTATGTGGATTCTAAGGATCCTAACTTGGGGGCTTATGTTTGTATATCAAGCACCTTACCCACTGAGCAGTCTCTCTAGTCCATTTTCTATCTTCTATTCATGTTTAATATTTGTAAATAGCTTATAAAACAATTCATCCACACAAGACATTGTTTTATAACTTTAAATAACAGATATTACTTCTAAAAAATAGCATATATAGACAGGCCTAAAGCTGTAACTCAGTGGCAGAGCACCTGCCTACTACTCACAAGCTCCTGGGTTCCACCCTGTCGCCAACAACAACAAATTTTAGAAACAGTCAAGACAAAAAGAATTTTTTTTGTCTTTTTTGTTTGTTTTGAGACAGGTTCTCCTTGTAGCCCCACCTGTCCTGGAACTCACTATGTAGACCAGGCTGGCCTCGAACTCACAAAGATCCACCTGCCTCTGCCTCCCAAGTGCTGGGATTAAAGGCGAGTGCCACCACACCCAGCCAAGATGAAAAGAAGTTAAAGCAGACTAAGTGGATAATTGATAATGCTTTAGCACAGTGTTGGTACTCAGTAAATATTTCTTGATTGTCTGATTCTAAACAAAATTTACAAGATTTTACAAATCCAAGTTGTGAACTTCATTGGAACAGCAACCATAATACTAGACAAACTTAGATAATCTACTAAATTCATTTTAAAGAGAAAAGGAATTTCATAGTAGCCCCATTATTCATATTATTGATGGTAAAATATATATATATACATATATATACCGTTATATATTTTACCATCAATAATATGAAGAATATATATACATGAAAAATATACAACAAAAAATCAAGAAATCTACTACTCATAGAATCTTCATTGAAGTTTTCCAAAATTAGCCCACAGACTTCTGTTAATAAACTGAAGTATATCTGGAATTATGAGCACAAGTAAAACCACAAGAAAACTAAAATGAATGTAATGATAATCTCCACATAGGAAGGGACTCCTGTTTTATTTCCAGCTCTGCACTAATGCTTACCTACTTCTTGAAGCTTCCAACTGTCCTAGTTGGCCCAAAACATGGCACTTCCAGTGTGACAACTAGAACAGCCCCACACAAACCAGGATGGCTGGACACCTTATCATAATATTCTTCACAATCAACAATAAAGAATAACTTATATTCCGTTACATATTTAGTTGCTCATTCAATAATACTGAATGTCTTATTGTGTATTTAGTAATCCTACATGATAGTGAAGGTACAATAATAAGAAAAATCCTTACTCCAAATAGTAGGGAAATTAGATAAATACTGCTATCTATATGGTCAATAACTAAGATACAAAATACAGAGGAGGGTTCCAAAGAATTACAAAGGTAGAGTTTGATTTGGGGCCCAAAGATAAAATTGGTATATGAAGTGCCAACTACAGATGATAAATCAAACTGTCAGGAAAGAGAAAATTTGGACATAGGAGAAGAAAATATTTGAGAGGAAAGAAATGAGTTTGGTATGTATTGACTTGGAGGTGCCAACAGCAAAAAAATAAATCAAACTGTCATGAAGCAATAAAGGTCCAATCAGAAAAAGAAGGTGAATAGTATATGATTAAAGGATAAGTTATATAGCCAGAAAACAAAGGGCATTCTCCACACATAAGGAATAACTAGATCTTTGAAACAAGTGCTGATCTGCAAGGACATCAATCTGTATAGCCATCAGATGAGCAATTATTTAAACAGTTATATCAACTGCATTTCCTGACATGGCTTCCTACATTCTGACTGGCTAATAAGATAAACTCATCATTGTTGACATACAAACACAGGCACGTGAATAGAACCATGGACCTCCCCGCAATGCTTTTGTAGCAGATAAAACTCCCACATCATAGAAAAGAAAAAATCTGTAAAAGAAAATATTTAGATTATGTCATTTGGCTTAATAGCTAATAGCCCACATAGACATATGGGCTATTAGCTATCTAAGCCAAATACAGCTAATGTGGGGTGGTATTCATTTTATAGGTACACTTAAAGAGCAAAGAAATACTCCCCAGGCCATTATCAGGATTAGTCACATGGTGGGGGGGTATTTTTGAAACAAAGTCTCCCTGTAGCCCCAGCTGGCCTGGAACTCACTATGTAGACCAGGCTGGCCTCAGTCTCACAATGCTGGGACTAAAGGCATGTACCACCATGCCTAGCAGGCTAATCACATTTTTATGGAATATGTTTTTATCATGAACTAAGATGGAGGTTCCTTATACTAGACTAGTTGTCTCTAGAGAAATTTTTGCCTTGAGAAGATATCCTTCTTTCTCAGATTAGTGGTAAGAAATTCAGGCACAGCTCTCATGGCTGTGGAGTATGAATATCCATTTTCCCATTCACAAAAGCAGAGCAGCTCAATTCTGTTCCTTTAGGTTGCAAGTCCTAGATCAGATACTCCTGATCAAATGATCTGAAAGCGAGGCAATGGAATTAACAAATTAAAAAAGAAATTCCTGTGGAAAATACGGAGTTAGTATACTCGAGGGCTGGCCAAGTAGGGGAAAGTAAAAGGAGACAGGAGAGAAAGAGGGTGAGAATATCTGCTTCTAACACTACCAAATCATGTCCTCTTGTGAGGCTAATGTAGCTATTACGTTATGTGAAGTCCCAACATCTGCTCTTTGCACATCATACTCTTAAAATGTACCTCATCTTCAGTTGAAATAACTGTACATCCATCTGCATAATCCAGTGAGCTACGTATTATGGGCACATGAACTACAATAGTAGTTGCTTTCAAATTACATTGCCAAGGAATCCAGCAAATAAATGGATAGAGACATCTGTTCTATCGCTTATCAGCATGTTATCACTGAATATCACTAAAACAACACATCTACTCAGAGTTCCCAATCACAAAATTTCATTTATTTCATAAGTCAACAAAGTATAATCATTTAAATCAGTGTAAGAGCCTCACTACATCCTACTTACTACCCTCTAAGAAGAGCTAGCATAAGTCACCAGGTGTGGTGGTGCATGCCTTTAATCCCAGTTTTCAGGAGGCAGAGGCCAACCTAGTCTACACAGCAGGTTTCAAGCCAGCTGGTGCTATAGGGAAACCCTGTCTCAAAAAGACAAAAAGAAAAAAGAGTTACCGTAAGTCATAGGATGTTGAAGATTAGGAGGACCTCCATTCCTGAGACCTGGAGATCAACCATAACCTCCACCTATGGGTGAGACCCTGAACACAGGAGTCTCAAGACCCTGACATGTGGAACTGCTGCATGCTCAGCAGAGGAAGTTGGCCAGATCAAAGAGGCTGACCATGTTCCTCATTCTAAGGAAGACACCTTAATTTCCCTGTCTGAGAGAGTAAACATCTTGATCAATAAATCAGCAGACACCCAATAACCCTGAGTAAGGTATAAACATCCTGCTATGTAATTGCCTTGGCTTGCACCAGCTCAAAGTTACTGTTCCTGTTTTTCATCTAAAAATGTTCTGATGCTTTGTATGCAGCTGCAAAAGCCATACATAACTGATAGTTTCTCTTCTGTATAAAAACCTGTTGGGCTTTTAATAAAGTTGACTTGTTACTAGACCTGCAAGCCCCCAGAGTCTTTACTCTGCACCTCCGATCCACCATCACAGGGCAGGGTCTCCCATAGGGAGGCCTCTGCAATAGGAGTTTTTGTTTCATTTATTATTATTCTGAGTCTGTGTGGTGTGTATGCTCACACACAGGGAAGTCAGATGACAATTCGAAGGAACAAGTTCTCTCTTTCAAACTATGTGGGTCCTGAGGATCTAACTCAGATCATCAAGCTAGTAGCAGGCATCCTTACCCACTGAGCCACCTCACTCACCCCATACACATTGGAGGGGGGTATATTATGTTTGTTTATGGTTTTTTTCCATACAAATTTTTATGTGGCTTAACTTTAATACAATATTTTGTTTCTTTTTTGTTTTGTTTTGCTTCAGTTCCATTCAGTTGGGTTTGGTTTGAGTTTTTAATATTTTATTTATATTTTTATTATATATGTATGAGGTATATACATATATACCTCAGGTATATAAGTGCACCATGTCAAGCAATGCCCATGGAGACCAGGAGAGGGTGTTAGATTCCCCTGAACTGGAGTTAAAGACAGTTATTAGCTGTGATGTGGGTGCTGGGAATCAAACCCTGGTCCTCTGCAAGAGCAGTCAATGCCCTTAACTGCTGAGCCATCTCTCCAGCCCCTAGCTTGGAGTTTTTTGAGACAGGTTTCCCTGCAGCCTCATCTGGCCTAGAACTTGCTATGTAGACCAGGCAAGCCTTGATCTCACAGAGATTCACCTGCCTCTGCTCCCTGAGTGCTGGGTTTAAAAGTGTGCTCCACCATACAAGGCTTGCCAGAAGATTTTTTAATTGAGTATTTTGTGTTATTGGGTTGAAAATGAGAATAATAAAGATCATGATTACTGCCTTCAAACAGTTCACATCTTAGAGGGGTTTTTAGATATTTTAACAGTAATTATAATATAGAATCAAAGTGATATAAAATGGCCATTATAAGCCAGAAGAAAAACCTAAGAATAATCAAAGAACTTCATTTCAGCTGAACATAAAGAATCAATAAGAGGGGGCTGGACAGATGGCTCAGCAGTTGAGTGCTGGGTGTTCTTGCAAAGGACCTGGGTTCAATTCCCAGCACCCACATAGCAGATAACAACTGTCCATACTATCAGTTCCAGGGGATTCAGTGCCCTCTTCTGACCTCCACAGGCACTGCATGACACAGGTACACTTACATACATACAAGCAATACACTCATACACATAAAATAAAAAAAATAGAATATTTTTTAAAAGAATAACAACTAGCCGGGTGAAGAAGGAACACACGACATACAGGGCAAATGCATCAGAAGGCACAAAGGAACAGAAGGGAGAAACCATGAACTTAAGAAAACTAACAAGCTAGAATTGCTGAAATGTACATCAAATGTGGAAGGACATACAGGTGCTTGGAAAGATCAGATTAAGTGGACACCAGACCAGAGATGAGAACATAAACTTATTGCCATCAGATTCTTAACTTTGGTGTCACAAAAGTTCGGGGGGATTTTTTTTTTCTGTTTTACCAATAGCAAAATTACATGTTAAAAAGATTATCCACAAGACGAAAAATGGATTGGACACTGAAACAGAATTAACACTTTAAATAATGAAGACCTGTATTAAGTTAGGGTTGTTAGGGAGAGGGAGAAACATCTTTCAGAGATTATAAAGATAGACTCAATGGTCTTAAAGATCAAGAGTAACGGTCAGGCAAAAAGGCAGGCTAGACTGCCCTTGCTCTTGCACCAGAACTTCACCATAAGACCCTATTGCTGAAGACACTACATACATGAGCTGTAGAGCAAACAATGAGAAATCAAGTTGGTACTAACATCAAAGATTCATCTCTACTGCCTAGCTTTCACAGTGCTGTAAGGTACTATGCATGCTACCAGAAGAGAAAATTGATCATCATCTTACCCAGCTGTGAATCTTGGGAGCTACAACAAAAAGTCATCTGACAAGATATGCCCGTTGGTGCAATAGTGGTATGAATGGTTTAGGAGTAACGAACCAATTTATGACTGGATTTAAGGTCTGCTTCACCAGAGTAAGCCCATACCTGACACTTATATCAGGGTTAGGAGCCTGTGGATAAACAAGTCACAGGCCATAGGGGAGAGCCTATTACTATTATCCTGCTAAATAGATAGGATTAAACTGACTCCTAATGACTTATTAGTTTACCCTCAGATTAATGCATCCCTCAACTCATATCAGAGAAGCTTCTTTATGCAGAAGAAGGTGATTAACACAGAGAACCACATGTAGAGAATAAGAGATTGAAGAGTGCTCATCCCTGAATAGGACACCTATATCAAATTTATGCCTCCCAAGGCTCCGGGAAGACAGGATAGGAAAATTTTAAGAGCCAGAGGAGTTGGATGACCACAAGGAAAGAGAGTTTTGCAGGCAGCTGGTCAGTTACTCATATGAACTCACAGCAATGGTGACAGCATGCATGAGTCCCACCTAAGCTCAAGCTAGACAAAACCCTAGCACAGAAGTGGGGAAGAGGAGAAGAAGCTCCAACTCTACCTGAGGAAGTATTGGTAACCTATGGCTTCTGGAAGGGCAAGAGTCAGTCTCACTTAAGGATAAGACTCTTGGCAGGGTGATAAGGTTAAGTGTATTGGGGGTGGGGGGACCTAGCGTTTCAAAGCTTAGGCCAGACAGGTAGAGGGGTCCATAGGAGGCACTGGCAATTAAAGTTTTTTATCTGACAGTAACTGAATGTGAATAGTAATTGAAGTTATGGATATGAATAAGAAAGTGCAAAGAGCAAAGTGACAAGCGAAAGATGGAACTTAAATTACACATGCAAAAAACCTGGTGCTAGAAAAATATTGTGGAAAGAGCTGCTTCTAAGAAAGTGGTCAGTTGTGCCAAAATAAAATTAAGGATAGAAAAATAGCATAGGTGTGAGCACTTTAGGTGGTCATTGGTAAACAGTAAAGTGTTGGGGGATAAATGGTTATAGCAGCTTACCTGCAGTAAAATAAAGGCTTTCAAAGTTCCAAAAATGCTGAGAACAGATGCTGGAAAGCAGTGAAATTTGAGATTTGAAGCACGGGCAGATGAGAAATTTTAACAGGCCCAGAGAAACTTGAACTGTACAATCTGAGCAGAGACATAAATAGAATAACTGATGCCAGCATTTTTTTGATATTTTATTCATTATTTTTATTTTATGTGTATTCGTGTATTGCCTGCATGTAGGTAAGTGCACCCGTGTGGTGCAATGCCCGCGGAGGTCAGAAGAGGCTGTCAGATCCCCTGGGACAGTTGTTAGCTGCCATGTGGGTGCTGGGATTCAAACCCGGGTTTTCTGCAAGAACAACCAATGTTCTTAACCACTGAGCCATCTCGCCAAACCCTTTTTTAAAGACATTTTATGCTTACAGGAAACCTACGTTTACTAAAGAAAACACTATAATTTAGATGGTATTAAATTCCAGACAATTATCAGAAAAAAAGTAGAATGCAAATTAGAAATATTTATTAAAAATTTGGCCTAACTCACTAACTACAAGGAAAGAAAACCAAATAACTATTTAAATTATGCATCCCCAACCCACCTCTCAACAACATAACTTTTCTTCACAGAATATAGAAAAAGGTTCTCATGAAGTGTGAAGGAAAGATGGGGATAGATAACTGTGTGGGGAGAAAATGAGTCTGTGTTTAAATAATATTGCAAAATAGAAATATGAAAGTTACACTGTAGTAAATAAATTATCCGTCCCCTCTCAACAACATAACTTTTCTTCACAGAATGTAGAAAAAGGCACTCACGAAGAGTGAAGGAAAGATAAGGATAATCATGTAACTTAACTAGAAAGGAGGGGTGATAAGTCTAAGTGATATTGCAAAATAGAAATATGAAAATTAAAGCATAATAAATAAATATGATAAAGAGAAGGTGTGTGAAGACCGTCAGACTACAAACCAGAAACGGCAGGAGCAAGATGTACACAAGACTTGGATTCCATAAGGTCAACAGAGGCAGAAAATCAAAATCCTGGCTGTAGGATACTTCATGCTTTGTTAGGTATATGAGGGGGTCCGTTTGGCTTTATGTTTAATTCACATGAACACAGAAGAAGAGCAGGCAGACGGTGGGATGCCTGTCACAGGAACCTGGCTTTCTACATCTTACCTGTGGCCTGGTTCAGGAAAGGTACCTGATAGGACCCAGGACCCACATGCTCCTCAGTGCTGCCCCCTGCTGGCAATCTGTGCAAGCGGGGAGCACGGTCGTACAAGATGAGGGGTTCTAGGGACTTAGACACAGGCAGCTAGAGGCAGGCACAGCTACCGAGGGCCTGAGCAGGTCAGTAGGCCTGGAGCGAGCGCAGGGGCTGTGTGCTGACCCGCTCCGAGTGTCAGCCTTCCCCCAGCTCATCTGGTTCAGAAGGAAAGAGTGCGGAGAGGCGGGACCACCTCCCAGGCAGCAGGCCTCAACCGGGTGCTGCCCTAAGGATATTAGCCCCTAGAGCTTCCGGTCGTGGCTCCGCCCATTCCTCTCCTCCCGGAAGCCTGGAATGGACAAAGGCGGCCAGACTCTGGTTAGGCCGAGCATTTCCGGGGAGACCTCAGAGCATGCGCACCGAGTCCCAGCCTGTCCGGTCCTTTAGACACGTGGAAGGCTGTGCTGGAAGCGCTGGATGTGTGCTCGCCTGTGTTCTGCCGAGGTCTAAAACAGACCTGCTCAGAAAAGCCTTAGGAAACGCCTTAGAAGGAGGCGAAAGTTAATTTGACCTTGATTTGTTTCCCCCGTCAAGAATGACTGGAAACATGCAGCAAAAACTCATGGAAAAAAAACTGGGTTTGGGTTCAGCAAGGTTGCCCTTCCTCCCTACCACAGCCACCTTCACACCATCGGAGCAAAGTCATCTCTGAGCTTGTAGACAGCCTAAACTACAGAAAGAAACCAGGAGTGGAGAGGGTCAGAGTGACAAGAAATGTCCAAGGGAAGGGGAAAACTCACCGACTGAAGCAAGGAATAGCAGGGGGCCGAAAGTTGCCTCTCTTGGATGCCAGACAACATTTTGGTGTATAAAGCAAAAGCCTTGAAAAAGCCCAACCCACCCCACTGAACCAGTAAGCCATTTAACTTTCAACAAGAGAAGCCTGGCTTGCAAACCTGGAAGAAGTCTGTCAGAATCCACCTCTCTGAATCTTGGGCAGTTTTTCAATTAAGAATCGTATCCATTCTAAGCATCCTTAAAGGCTTAGACAGTCTACCATGGTCATGCCTGATACACAGAAGAGCCTTAGTTTGTCCCTCAAACAAATTTCAATTTGTTTATACTCTGTAATACTTGATTTGCTACTTCATTCTGAACATCGCAGACTGTGCCTCAATCGTGCCATGTCTATTAGAATATTCTCTATAAAGTGTATGTTTCCTAAGAATGTGTCTCTTACTGCCTTTTTTCTTCTTCTCAATAGCTAAATGAATAATTTACTTTAAAATTTTTTGTTGAGGGGCTGCAGAGATGACTCAGCAGTTAAGAACATTTGCCGTCCCTAACTCCAGTTCTGGAGGATCTAACGCCCTCTTCTGACCTCCATGGGTACTGCACAACACGGGTACACTTACATACATGCAGGCAATATACTCATACACATAAAAATAATAAAATATTTTTAAATTTTATTTTAAAATAAAAATACTTGTTTGTATATACTCTAGGTCCCATGCACTCCTAAGTTTACCAGGATACAAAGATTAAGGAAAGTTCCTGTCCACCTTGCTGCCCTCTTGGGGAAAGATATGTATAATCTGAAGCAAGATGGATAAAACGGTAAGAGAATATTGCAACAGTTTGGAAACATCTTCCTATTGATTTGTAACAGTTTCTCATAGACTTTCATTCTCTCTACATCTTACAAAAACCTTCATAGTTCTCTCAATGTTATTTTACCCAATCTACAGTATACCTATTCAGAAGATCTAGAATGCATTTGCCATGACACATTAGAAGGAGTCACAGATGAAAGGAGAATAGTCCATATCATTTGAAGGATGATTAGGTGGTGTTTGTGTTAGCTTGTTGGACATTTCTTAGGATATTGTTTCCTTGCCCTTGATGATCCAAAACAGTATATCAACCCAGACAGCTAGTCAATGTCTGAGCCTAGTTGTGCTAACACAGTGTGATAGTTTGTCCCTGGTCTAGAAAATGAAGAAAATGCACAAAAGCAATAAGATAAAAGATTTATTGAAACTTATTAACAGGGATGCTAACAGGGGAGGTAGTGGCTATACTAACAGAGAGTGTCCAGAGGAGCATGTCACAGAAAGTACTGTCAACAGAGTGCTCCTTTTCCACCAGTTTATCCTTGCCACAGTGCTAATAAAGTTCAGTGGTGGCTAGCAAACTGGACCAACAGCATTTGTTTTCACTATGCTCATTTTCTATTGTACCTAATTACCACAGGGAGAGGGGCTTTATAGGTTAAGACCACATAAGCAGTGACTTGATGAGCTTGCTAGTTTGCTTTGTCCTTGTAGGGACACCACACCAAGGAATCACTTGACTGAGCCTACATGCAGGAGGCTGGTTTCCCCTGAAGATAACCTAGTTTGCCACTGTTCCTAGAATACATGAGAGGGAGTTAGTGGCTGTCCAAATATCTAAATGTTCTGGTCTCAGCCTGCTTTCCTTTTCCTCTTGACAAAAATATTGGAAATAGAGAGGGGCATTTCTAAGGTATGGTGTTTAAGTGTTCTTATAGATAATTCACAAGGCCATGGTTCTGTAAACAATGAAGCAGGCTCATCCCCTCCTCTAACTGATTGTTGTTCTTAATGATATAAATTACCCTTTCCTTGAATAGACTTAGATTAAGAATAGAAGTTGCAACACTTTATCTGCCTTCTGTCTAATTTAACTTTTTGACCAGTAAGTCAAAACTCATTTAGACAAGCTCTGTGTAGGATCTCCTCAAGTTCATTGACAGACCTCTAAAAGAGAATCTGTGTCTGAAGTACTAGCTATGTAGACAGTGTTCCTTTACTTTGCCTCCTGAGTCAATGTTCTTTCTTCAAGGACTTCAAAGGGAAGCGTGGCTAATCAGTGGTAGAACTCCATTGTTTGTGAGTCTTCTGGCCTGAGCCTATCTGAATATCATATATTGAATAACAGCCTATAGCTCCTTCATAATTTTCAAACATTTAATCTTTGAGAATTCTATATTTTAAAAAAGTATTTGCTTAGCAGGGCATGTTGGCACATGCCTTTAATCCCAGCACTTGGGAGGCAGAGGCAGGTGAATCTCTGTGAGTTCGAGGCCAGCCTGGTCTACATAGAGAGTTCCAGGTCAGCTGGGGCTACAGGGAGACCCTGTCTCAAAAAGACTGTCTTAGTTTGTTTCTTCATTGCTGTGACAAAACACTCTGACCAGTACCAACTTGGGGAGGAAAGGGTTTATTTGTCTTACATCTCCCAGGTCGCACACAGTTCATCAGGGAGCCCAAGGTAGGAACTCAGGGCAGGAACCTGGAGACAGGAGCTGGAGCACAGGCCATGGAGGAATGCTGCTTACAGGCTTCCTCCCCTGGCCCCTGCTCAGCCTACTTTCTTATGCAACACAGGCCCACCTGCCCAGGGGTGGCACCACCCACAGTGGGCTGGGCCTTCCCACATCACTCATCAAGAAGATGCCCTTCAGACATGGCCACAGGCCAGTCCAACAGAGGAAATTCCCCAATTGAGGCTCCCTCAACCCAGGTGTGTCAAGTTGACACTAAAGCTATCCAGCACAAAGACCCAAAAATAAGTCTTTCCTTTATATTTTTTAAGTATGAAGCTGTGTTTTTTAGATCACTGCGGCTGCTATTATCTGTATATTCCCTGGTTACAAGATTCTTCTTGTGGTTCAATAACCAGAAGTTATACAATATTTCAAGATTGGAAAATATTTTTTTTGGTTGCAATATGTATTTATCACATAATTAAAGCATAAGGAAAATATTTTTAAATTAAAAATAGTTTTCCTTGTTTCTTATTGTGATATTTTTGAATAGTATGAAATGAGTGTGCTGCTGAAAAAAATAATAAATGCTAATCCTAATTATCTCTTAGCACAAAATACATAATTTGACCCAGCATTTCTCAGTTCCTAACACAAAATTGTCTAATGCTAATTAGCTGCATACTAGTTGACCATCTCCATGTTGTTAGTAAGAGATGTTTAAACCAAAATTTGACTTCAGACTTTATGTTCCTTACATTTCTACCTGCTGAATCCTTCAGGAATAAACATTAAAGTCAAATTTTGTTAAGTACAAACTTCAGGAAGTCAAACATGATTCATCAAATATGCAATGTAGCTACACAGTAAAGAGCTTCATTGAATGCCAGTTTTTCTTTATAGCATTTTGATGATTGAGTAAATAACATGATATGTAGACTGTCAAATGAAGGCTAATAATTCTGCCATAAATAGCCAATAAATGTCTTATAAATACTATAAAACCAAACCAGTCTTGAAACTAACTTCATCACTTTGTTGATTTTTATTTGTTTTCTGAGATTGGATCTGGCAATGTAGCCCAGGCTGGCCTCTGACTTTGGATCCTTTTCTGCTTCAGCCTCCCAAGTACAAGGATTACAAGCCCATGCTACATACTCAGATTAAAACTAATTTCTTTAATGCATTATGACTTAGTTTTTCCATTGTTTTGCTTTTCTGTAAAGATGTAGATCACTTTACATGTATCAGACTAAGGCAAATAAAGATAATCAGTGTTATTCAAGATCACATTGTAAAATGATATCTATTCAGGATGGTAAAAATTGTATTATTTGAAGGTTACAGCATATTTTACATATATTATGTTGTTTAATATAAAGTTTTATTACTTTAAATTGACTATGAAATGACCAGATTTCAGGAAATACATTTTTAAATTACTAATGTAATTTAGATGGCTCGATGGTTGAGCAGTGGCTGCTCTTGCAAAAGACGGGTTAAGTTCCCAGCACTCATATGGCAGCTTATAGCTGTTTGTAACTCTGGTCCCTGGGGATCTGGTCACTTCTGCCCTCTGTGGACATCAGGCACACATGTGGTGCACATACATATATGCAGGTAAACACTCATACATAAAAAAATAAACCCTAAAAATCTAAAAGTAGGGACTGGAGAGATAGCTCAGCAGTTAGGAGCACTGACTGCTCTTGCAGAGGACCCAGATTCGATTCCCAGGACCCACATGACAGCTAACAACAATCCGTAACTCCAGTTCCAGGGGATCTGACACCTCCTTCTGGCCTCCATAGGCATTGCATGACATGGGTGACTTCTACACATGCATACAATACACTTGTACACATAAAATATAAATAATAAAATATTTTTTAAAATAAATTACTGACCCTTTTTTCACTTAAGTTTATTGAGCATGTGCTCTGGGCTAGGCAGTTACATGCATAATTCATCTCTGGCAGAACCAATGTGGCAAATTCTATTAATTTCTCCATTCAATATTGAAGTTTAAAGTCCATTAAATTTATTTTCCAGTGTCATTTAATGGTGAAGGTGGATTTAAAGCCAGTCAGTTTGAATCAAGATAGAACCTAGTTTCGTGGGCATTAAAAGGGACGTGAGCCTACCTGTGTTATGTTTTTACACACAACCAAGCTTTTCCCTAAGTCTTTTTTGCACTTTTCTTCATGTGTGTTTATTCCTCTAAAAAAGTGTCTGGAGGTAGTTTTTTAAAGGTGGAATAGTGACTTCTTGATGGCCAGGTATCAAGACACTCTCAGAGTGGTCTATGTCTTGATGGGTGACCACCATTCTTGAAATAATTTCATGGTGCAAAATGACCCACTGTAGTCCCAGCACCTAGGGGGCGGCAGAGAGGAAGAATAAAAGCGTGTCTTCTCTGTGTCAAGGAGGCTTCATGCTTCCTACTCTATCTTTTTCTTCTTTCACCTTTTTTCCCTCTCCCATGACATTTTATCCATTCTCATAACTCATGTAGCTCCTTTGAGAATCCTACATGTCCTGGTCTGCTTAGCACCTAATAGAACTGTG